GATTTGCCGAACGAAGGTCATTTTGCGCGCACGTGCTAGCAAGAGCGCGCACGTGCAACACATGGAATGACCAATATAATGGATATTGCTGTAACTTTTCTTTTTCTTGATGAATTTTTTTTGAAACTCATAATGTAAGGATACATTAGTAGTATAGACAAGATGGCATGGTCAATATAGCAAGATCTCACGCGCATGCACGTGCGCTTCGCTCTGATTGGCTGGAACTAAAGTCTCAATATCTATCTTGTTTTTTGTCATAATCTTTTGAAATTTTGGACATAGTCCTACATTATGAAGATCTACAGCATGATATATAAAAAAATTCATGAAAGCATGCGCATGCGCTCGTGCTGCAATGTGATTGGCTGAAACTTTAAATGGCTATATCTCCTTTGTTTTTTGACGAAATGCTTTGAAATTTAAAACATAGTCATGCATTAAGATATCCTAAAATAGGATATAGAAAAATATCATGAAATCACGCGCATGCACGTGTGCTGCAATCTGATTGGCTGAAACTTTATATGGCTATATCTCCTTTGTTTTTTGACGAAATGTTTGGAATTTTAAAATATAGTCATTCATTTAGATATTCTTCAATACGATAAAGATAAAAAATTATGAAATCACGCGCATGCATGTGTGCTATAATCTGATTGGCTGAAATTTCAAATGGCTGTAACTCCCTTGTTTTTCAACCAAACAGGATAGGATTTTGAACATAGATAAATATAAGGGACTTCTACAAAAAGGTATAGTCATTATGCACGTGCTTCCACGTGCGTGCACGTTAAATGAGTAAAATTAAAAATACACTCGAATGAGTGAATTTTTTAATACTTTTGGATTAAATGCTTTAATATTAAGTATATTAAAATTTGAGATATTGTAAGACAAGATAATATGGTCGTTACGCACATGAACACGCGTGCAATGCCTATTTTTAAATATAATTTCTATTTTTCTGGGAAGATCTTGATTAAGTCTAAATTCCATAAAGTATTTCTTATCTAATAGAGATTACAGGGAATATGGCACGAAAAGGGAGTTGGGGAGTGTTTGGGGAACATCTGTAACGGTCCCCGTTACAATTAGCACTAGTTATTATTATTATTCTTTTTTCTTCTTATTTCTTCTCCGGTACTTTTTTGTCCGCGAGTGTTCTCAGAAACTGTTCACCCAACTGAGCTAAAACCTTTTTAGGGTTAATAGGTGTGTTGTGTAGGTGTGCGGAACGAAGGTCATTTTGCGCGCATACGCCTGCACGTGCGGGCGCGTGAAATGACTGAAATGACTAATATATTTAATATAGCCATAACTTTAACATTTTCCGATGAAATGCTTTGAAACTCATTATATAAGGATATATTAATAGTGTAGATAATGTGACACTGTCAAATTAGCAAGAACTCACGCGCATTTACGTGCGCTTCGCTCTGATTGGCTGAAACAAAAATCTCAATATCTTTTCCGTTTTTTGACGAAATGGTATGAAATTTAAAATATAAGCATACTTTAAGATGTCCTACAACATGATGTATAACATTTGTCATGAAAGCATGCGCATGCACGTGCGCTGCAATCTGATTGGCTTAAACTTCAAATGGCTGTAACTCCCTTGTTTTTCAACCAACCACGATAAGATTTAGAACATAGACAGACACAATAGACTCCTATAAGAAGTTACGGTCATCATGCACATGCATGCACGCGCATGCACGTGCGCTTTGCTCCGATTAGCTGAAACAAAAATCTCAATATCTTACTTGTTTTTTGACAAAATACTTTGAATTTTAAAACATAATCATACCTTAATACGTCCTAAACTATGATATATAAAAGTTTTCAAGAAACCACGCCCATGCACGTGTGCTGCGATCTGATTGGCTTAAACTTTAAATGCCTATAACTTTTTTGATTCTCAACAAAACAGGATGAAATTTAGAATATGAATAGATATGACGGATTCTTACATTATGCTACTATCAAACTTGAATGCAAGGACTTGCATGCACGTGTGCGCGCGCAATGCGTTAAATGACCGATTTACTTGATATAGTCGTAATTTTTTTTATGAAACGTTTCAAAATTCAAAGAATAGAAACACATTAAAAGTGTAGTCACGATGATATAGCTTTCATGCATTGCACCTTCGCGCGCGTGCAATGATCAAATGACTTGTATACTTGATATGGCCGTTACTTTTATATTTCTTTATGAAATGCTTTGATGACCTTGACCTTTGACCTTGACCTTTGACCCCTTGACCCAAAGGTCACAATCCAGCTCAAGTTCGTAGATGTATTTACAAACTCACTTTAACAAATGCTTAGAATAAAAAAGTCAACCCCCCCCCCCTTCTCCTTAAAAAAAAAGAAAAATCAATAACAACGTAGAAAATTTCTCTGAAACTCGATCAACACCTGGGATCGACATAAAATTTCACTTAAGGTGCAGAAAAGACTTCATAGAAAGTTTCCTGAAAGTTTTACGGTAAGTCTCTAAAGTATATAGAAATTATGAATTTTTACGGCAAAAATTACAAATTCTGTCGTGTTTGAAATTTAAGTGCAGACGAACAAAGATATGATATAAACCTTTTAAAGCCTATTTCTCCAGATGTCGTTAATAGCATTCAATTCTACTGATATGAATTAATATTTTAATACCAAGCATTCTTCTTTTATTTCACCATTGAAATTTATCTGAATTTTTTTTAGAATTACACAATCCCCAGAAATAGCGAGTTTCGGTATATTAAAAAGCAATACACGTTTCTTTCCAGTAAAACCTCACGTGTTTGAATTCATGAAAAAATATTGATAAGGGGGTGTTAAACAATACCTGTCACATTAGCTGACACCAAAAAACCAGGGTACGTACACGACATTTTCTGATTTATTTGCATATGCAAACAGGGCTACCCTCAAATCCACGTGTTTTCCATGTCTTTATAAACATCACAAAAGCACCCCAGGAAGTAGCCTCCTATGCCCTGGAGAAATAGTTCCTGTCAAAAAACTTTATTTATTTATAGAGTAGATAAAATTTCCTAGGCACAGGTACCAGAGTTGTCAAACTGGCCTGGAAGGAAATTAAAAAAACTCTCAAAAGAAAGGAAAATCGGCTTAATGTATGGACCTACAATTGACTAAGTTCATTTTGATTGGTCAATTACAGGTGTGGTACCCCTAGTCGCCTTGAACCCAGTCCTGTCTTTCTGAAGAAAACCAACTCCGAGCCCGATGTAAAAATCTTAGTAGAGAAATGAGAATTTGAATTTTGCTGCCTTATTATGTTCCCCAAACGAAGTTTGGGAACATATTGTTTTTACTCTGTTTCTTATTATGTTCCCCAAACGAAGTTGGGGAACATATTGTTTTTACTCTGTTTCTTATTATTATGTTCCCCAAACGAAGTTGGGGAACATATTGTTTTTATTCTGTTTCTTATTATTATTATTATTTTTCTTCTTCTTCTTCTTCTTCTTCCTGGGTACTTTTTTGTCCGGGAGTGATCTTGTAAACTGTTGATCCGATGTAGGTAAAACCTTTTTAGGGTCAGTAGACATGTTATGTAGATTTGCGGAATCAAGGTCATTTTGTGCGTACGTGCTTGCAAGAGCGCGCACGTGCATCATGTGAAATGACCAATATAATGTATATTGCCTTAACTTTTCTTTTTTTTGATGAAATGCTTTGAAACTCATAGTGTAAAGATATATTAGAACTATAGACAAGATGACATGGTCAAAATAGCAAAATCTCACGCGCATGCACGTGCGCTTTGCTCTGATTGGCTGAAACTAAAGTCTCCATATCTTTCTTGTTTTTTGACGAAATCCTTTGAAACTTTGAACATAGCCATGCATAAGGATATCCTACAACATGGTATATAGCAATTATCATGAAAACACGTGCATGCACGTGCGCTGCAATCTGATTGGCTGAAACTTTAAATTGCTATAACTCCCTTGGTTTTCAACCAAACAGGATAAGATTTGGAACATAGATATATATAATCGACTTCTACAAGAAGGTACTATGCACTATGCACATGCATACATGTGCGTGTACATGCGCTGCAATCTGATTGGCTGAAACTTGAAACAGGTATAACTCCCTTGGTTTTCAACCAAACGGGGTGGGATTTAGAACATAGATAGATGTAATGGACTTCTACAAGAAGACATGGTCACCATGCACATGCATGCACGTGCGCTGCAATCTGATTGGCTGAAACTTTAAATGGCTATATCTCCTTTATTTTTTGACGAAATGCTTTGAAATTTAAAACATAGTCATGCATTAGGATATCCTGCAATCTGATATACAAAAAATTTCAAGAAATCACGCGCATGCACGTGTGCTGCAATCTGATTGGCTGAAACTTTAAATGGCCATATCTCCTTTGATTTTTGACGAAATGCTTTGAAATTTAAAACATAGTTATGCATTAGGATATTCTACAATATGATTTAGAAAAAAATTCTTGAAATCAAGTGGATGCACGTGTGCTGCAATCTGATTGGCTGAAACTTGAAATGGCTATAATTCCCTTGGTTTTCAACCAAACAGGATGGGATTTAGAACTTAGATAGATATAAGGGCCTCCTACAAGAAGGTATGGTCATCATGCACGTGCACGCACGTGCGTGCATTTGGAACGAGTGAAATTGAAAATACACTTGAATGAGTGATTTTAAATACTTTTGGAATAAATGCTTTCATATAAAGTATATTTTAATATATAGAAATTGTAAACAAGATTATATGATCATTATGCACGTGCATTCACATGGACACGCGTGCAATGTTAAAATTTGAATATAATTGGTATCCTTTTGGGAAAACGTTGTTAAAGTCAAAAATGCACAGATGTTGTCTTATTTAATAAGGCTTACATGGAATATGGCACCAAAAGGGAGTTGGGGAGCGTTTGGGGAACATCTGTAACGGTTCCCGTTACAATTAGCACTAGTTTTTGTTTGTTTACAGGCTTTGGATGCTCTAAAGCAGTTCCACTCCACGGACCGTCCAAACAGAAGACAATATTTCTACCTGAATGACCTCATCACTGACAGAAGTGAGTCTACAGTGTCTCAGGAAATAAAACTCAATTATAGAAATAATCATTAATTTGCTTTACTTCACTTTTATTGTGAGTCCAACAATAAGAAATAATTTGTTTGATGTACTCTGACCAACCCATCAAAATCGCCCCTGCCCAATTGCTATTTTAGTACTTTGATTTTTAATTTTTTTTCAGTGTTTCATTTTAAAGATTTAGATTTTTTCTTGAAAAAAAAAAGCTTTTTCAATGTAATGTTTTTATAGAAATTAAATCTGCTTTGCTCAGAGTATATATAATGGAAACATCATTAAATTTTATAAGTATGTTGGTTTTTTGTGATAATTATCAAAACCTACCTACCCACTTTGAAAAATGTGGGTTGGAGCACATCAAACAAAAAATATGATGGCCTGAAGTGAATAAATGTACAGACTTGTGTTGTTTTTTTATTCATTGAAATACGTCATCTTCATGTCAATTTGGATCTCAGACAAATTAAGTACCCCAGTTACCAGTATTAGTGTTAACATAAAATACCTGTTGTGTTTGAGCAGTAATTTATTTTTTTTTTGTATTTTCCATATATTTGTTTTTAGGTAAAGATCCAAAGGCACAAAGTTTAACTCCTGTAAGTTTTCATTCAAAATGAAAATGAAAGTAAATTAAAATTAATTATACAGTGATATATACATTTACGAGATTATTGTACAGATGATAATGTGAAACAGTGTACCTAAATGTCTCTGATTTTTCGTTTCAGCTGCAATGTGCCACCCACTTTAAGCAATATGATCTTCTCTCACACAGAGTCATGCTCGCCCTTATAAACCAAATGTGGGTCAAGTTTGGAAGGTGAGAATCAAAGTTTTTATAGTAAGATTTACATAGGTGTACACAGATCTAAAAAAAAAAAAAGCATGTGCTTAAGCTCAGCTTAGATTTCGCTTAGCTGATATTTGGACTGGTGTCCTTACCAAATGTCAGGGCATGCAGTCCTTCATGATTTATGTAAGAAAACCACACTGAACTTTGGCCAATTTTAGCTATTAATGTGCACCTATAAGTAGGTAACACTGCCTTTGGCTTTAAATAAGTGATGTTATCTTAATGTTTTATTAACTCTACAACAATTAATACACCATTGCTAACTGTAAGTTTGTTCATGCTGAACTTTGATATTTTTTTCTTTTTAAGGATTCGGGCATGGTTTAATCTACTTCTTAACTTTGCCTACATCATGATATGGACTGTGTATGGCCTGTTGATTGAGTATGATGACCGCTACAAGTATGACCTTCCTGATCAATGGTGGAGGATTGTACTTCTTGTAAGTGGTGCTCATAAAAACTCACAAAATGTGAAAACCATCACATTTATTTTCAGAGGATTTGTATTTTTGGTTGTTTTTGATGGACGTTTCTTTACTTCTAGGTGGCAGCCATTGGGTTTACAATCTGGCAGATCATAGAGGAAGTGTTGGAATATAAACGCTCACTCCAGTTCCATAATGTGAGTAGCGCCATAAGTAGTTACTTGTGGTTATTTTTCAATTTTTAAGCAATAAAAGTACTTTTTAATTGTGTGTTAAACAGATAATTAAAAATCATTGGCTTATAGTTGTAGCATTGTATCTTTCAGCACAATATATATATGAAGTTTAATAGTTTGGTTATTTTTTTTTCTCCAGTTTTGTATAACGAAGCCTCTTACTTAACAGTTTCTCATTTGGTGTTTTAGAATTGGGTCAACTACAGAAGGAAGCAGATAGAGGAGGACCTGAAGTACTGCCACCCCCGCTGGACCGAGGAGAGTGATTACCTGAAGAAAGAACTGGCCAATCTGGACGAAGCACGACCCAGATACTGGTCCGACTTCTGGTAGGTCAAGGTCTACAGGAAACTGAAACAAATTCAGACTTCTGGTAGGTCAAGGTCTACAGGAAACTGAAACAAATTCAGGCTTCTGGTAGGTCAAGGTCTACAGGAACAAGGATTTCCTTTTTTTTTACCTCCTAAATTCAATACTTCATAAAACATGATCAGTAGTATATGTATATTCTTGAAATGTTGATTCAAACAAGATATAAAGATGTTTAACCTTTTTTAGCTCACCTGAGCTGAAGGCTCAAGTGGGCTTTTCTGATCACATTTTGTCCGGCGTCCGTCTGTCTGTCTGTCCGTCTGTCTGTCTGTCCGTAAACTTTTCACATTTTCGACTTCTTCTCAAGAACCGCTGGGCCAATTTCAACCAAACTTGCCACAAAGCATCCTTGGGTGAAGGGGATTCAATTTTGTTGAAATGAAGGGCCACGCCCTTTTCCAAGGGGAGATAATTATGAATTAGTGAAAAATTATTTGCATTTTTAAAAAATCTTCTTCTCAAGAACCACTGGGCCAGGAAAGATGAAACTCATGTGGAATCATCCTCAGGTAGTGTAGATTCAAGGTTGCTCAAATCATGACCCCCGGGGGTTGGGTGGGGCCACAATGGCCGACCAAAGTTTTACATAGAAATATATAAGAAAATTCGTGAAAAATCTTCTTCTCAAGAAATACAAAGCCATGATTGGTCATATTTGTATGGAAGCATCCTCAGACAGTGTAGATTCAACTTTGTTCAAATCATGACCCCCGGGGTAGGGCGGGGCCACAATGGCCAACCAAAGTTTTACATAGAAATACATAGGAAAATTCTTGAAAAATCTTCTTCTCAAGAAAACAAAGCCATGATTGGTCATATTTATATGGAAGCATCCTCAGGTAGTGTAGATTCAAGTTTGTTCAAATCATGACCCCCAGGGGTAGGGCGGGGCCACAATGGCCGACCAAAGTTTTACATAGAAATATATAGAAAAATTCTTTAAAATTCTTCTTCTCAAGAATAACAAAGCCATAATTCATCATATTTATATGGAAGCATCCCCAGGTAGTGTAGAGGACTTCTTTTGGATTAAAACTTTTCAATAATAAACCAATTTTCTACTTTTTCCTAGCCACAGTGCTCAGGTGAGCGATGTGGCCCATGGGCCTCTTGTTATTTATTTACCATCAGAGTAACCTACATATTGAGATGATTGAGTAGTATTATGCATGTAGAATGTTTGATTTCAGAAAAATGATTCTATTCTGATGTTTAGGACAGCTGTTTTAACTTCGAACATTTATCATTTTAGGAACATCTTTGACTGGATCTGCTATGTTTTCCTGATTGCCAGCATTGCTACGCACATTGTGGATATTTTTGTTCACACCGATGACTTGGCTCGATCACACATCAGAATCATGTCTGTCACTATTATATTACTGTGGCTTCGATTGATGAAGGTGGCCAGGGCATTTTCTCTCCTAGGTAAGGGATGCTTTGACTAATGTGAATACATTTATCAGTATTTGATTAAAGCAAGGGGAAAAAAGTAAGGAAACCAAGATGATGATATGTTTAGAAATGAGAATTAAGCCAATTTCATTTTGTTTATTGTAACAAAATCTGAATGAAAAAGGAGCATAAACATTCTTAAAAAGTCATCTGTTACTGCTTTATATAAATATAAACTTGGGATTTGTATTCAAAAAATGCAAGAGTTTTTTTAGCTCACCTGAGCCGAAGGCTCAAGTGAGCTTTTCTGATCACATTGTGTCCGTCGTCCGTCCGTCCGTCTGTCCGTCCGTCTGTCCGTCTGTCCGTAAACTTTTCACATTTTCGACTTCTTCTCAAGAACCACTGGGCCAATTTTGACCAAACTTGGTATGAAGCATCCTTGGGTGAAGGGGAATTTAAATTGTTGAAATGAAGGGACATATCTCCTCGCAAGGGGAGATAATCAAGAAAAGACAAAAATAGGGTGGGGTCATTAAAAAATCTTCTTCTCAAGAACCACTGTGCCAGAAAAGCTGAAACTTATGTGGAAGCATCCTGGGGTAGTGTAGATTCTAAATTGTTCAAATCATGACCGCCGGGGATTGGGCGGGGCCACAATGGGGAATCAAAGTTTTACATAGAAATTTATAGGAAAAATCTTTGAAAATCTTCTTCTCAAGAACCACTGTGCCTGAAAAGCTGAAACTTATGTGGAAACATCCTGGGGTAGTGTAGATTCTAAATTGTTCAAATCATGACCCCCGGGGGTTGGGCGGGGCAACAATGGGGAATCAAAGTTTTACATAGAAATTTATAGGAAAAATCTTTGAAAATCTTCTTCTCAAGAACCACTGTGCCTGAAAAGCTGAAACTTATGTGGAAACATCCTGGGGTAGTGTAGATTCTAAATTGTTCAAATCATGACCCCCGGGGATTGGGCGGGGCCACAATGGGGAATCAAAGTTTTACATAGAAATATGTAGGAAACATTTTTCAAACTCTTCTTCTCAAGAACCACTGTGCCTGAAAAGCTGAAACTAATATGGAAGCATCCTGGGGAAGGGTAGATTTTAAATTATACAAATCATGACCCCCGGGGGTAGGGCGGGGCCACAATGGGGAATCAAAGTTTTACATAGAAATATGTAGGAAACATCTTTCAAAATCTTCTTCTCAAGAACCACTGTGCCTGAAAAGCTGAAACTTATATGGAAGCATCCTGGGGTAGTGTAGATTCTAAATTGTTCAAATCATGACCCCTGGGGATTGGGCGGGGACACATTGGGGAATCAAAGTTTTACATAGAAATATATAGGAAAAATCTTTGAAAATCTTCTTCTCCAGAACCACTGTGCCAGAAAAGCTGAAACTTATGTGGAAGCATCCTGGGGTAGGGTAGATTTTAAATTATACAAATCATGACCCCTGGGGGTTGGGCGGGGCCACAATGGGGAGTCAAAGTTTTACATAGAAATATGTAGGAAACATCTTTCAAAATCTTCTTCTCAAGAACCACTGTGCCTGAAAAGCTGAAACTTATATGGAAGCATCCTGGGGTAGTGTAGATTCTAAATTGTTCAAATCATGACCCCTGGGGATTGGGCGGGGAATTGCACATTGAGGAATTTAAGTTTTACATAGAAATATATCTGAAAAAGCTTTGAATATCTTCTTAATAACAACTGGGCCATAAAAGCTGAAACTTATATAATTATGATCAGTGGGGTAGGATGGGGTCACAATACAAGGTGTAAATCTAGTAAAGTACAGAATTGTCAAAGCTTCTCAGGTGAGCGATGTGGCCCATGGGCCTCTTGTAATTTGTTTTATGTTTATCTCGCATGATTCCAGGGCCCTTCATTGTGATGCTGTCCCATATGGTGAAGGATCTCCTCAGATTTGCCTTTCTGTATCTAGAGTTCTACCTGCCATTTGGTAAGAAAACTCATTCAGCAATTCACAATTTATAGCTAAGTGTTCCTTGTCAGTGATCATATATTACTGTGACATTTTGTGATTTCTTGACACTCATTCCAATATATGTTTGAACTTAGTTTGAAAAATACTATACATTTCTGTTGACATATATATATTTTATTTTTTTCAATGTTATTTTGAAAAAGGAGTCCAGATTGAGATGTGTGTAACTTTTTACAAAAATATATCCCCCATCTTCATTATATTGATAATGACCTTGAAAAAATAAAGAGGAGACCTTATTGTGTAGCTCTGTATTGTTTTTGATACAGTGTGTGCATTCTGGATGATCTTCGGAGGCACCAAGAGGGACTATTACGATTATAACAACATAGTAGAAGTCGATGGGTACGGAAACTTTGGAGATGTGTTCTACAGCCTGTTCCGGCTAACTCTAGTGGATGAATATGACTTCCCTGTAAGTGACTCTTTAGGAATGATTCACTTTAACTTCTTTGATAATTTTTCAGTGTCCATTTATTGACAATTATATATTTTTCCTATAAAAGCCAAGGATTTTACTGAAAAACAACTTTTATTCGAGTGCGGGAAATTTTTGCAAGGTTCGCAAGAGCCTCGTCATCTCGAACATATCTAGCCACAAACTGGTTCTTAACGTCTCTATCTATTAACAGATCCAAAAAGACTTGATAGCAAAAATTACTTGTCGCCAAAAAGTTTACCCCCCTTGCATTGCAAAATAAAGTTGTCGCGAATAAAAGTTGGTTTACAGTAGTTGATAATGGACTGACATTTTTTTCCAGAACATGGAGAAAGTGGACCCTATAATGGCTAAGATCCTGGTGGGCTTCTGGCTGGCTCTGTCTGCGGTTCTCTGTCTGAATCTCTTCATTGCTCTGCTGTCTGATACATTTCAAAGGTAGGTAAACACACAGGATTATTGTATTCAAGACTTACACAGAATGTACAGCATTTGTTGAATTTGGAATGTACTTCCCTTAAAGGGCATTGCAAATTAACAAAAAAAATATTCTTCTAAAGAACCATTGCAGCAGAAAAGCTGAAACTTATGTGGAAGCATCTATGGGTAGTGTAGATTCTAAATAGTCTAAATCAAGACCTCTGAGTGTAGGGTGGGGTCACAATAGATATTACAAGGGGGGATCTGGTAAAGAGCTGCATGGCCAAATTTACTCAGGTTAGCGATCATGGCTCTTGTCAAAATCAATATCTATTTCGTTAAAAGATTTTACGTTGTTTTGTCAATATCTAGAACAGGGATTGAAGTCTGAATGGAAAAGGAAGTCCTATACATTTTTTTTTAAAAATTACATACCGGCTACACTGTGTACTAAAGAAAATAAAAAAGATCATAAAATAAGTACCACATACATTATCATAATAAATGAGTGAAACTGAACATTTCATGTTTTGTTACTTGTAGCATGACGTTTATCATAACAATATTCCATTTTACTGTTAGAAAAGCATATATCACCTCTATCATTTTTTTTTGGAAGATTGTGTCTTTTCATTAATCACTTTACAGAACAATTAACTAAGTGCAGTAGACCCCACTCTTGCAAGTTTTATATTGTTTACCAATAACTTTTTAAAAAAATCTATTGTGTCTTCAGTGTAGACATAATTTGCCAAGGCTAGCAATATTAAAAGTTTTTTGATTTTAATTGATCTTAATTGTTAAAGATGTATACATCGGTAAGTAAACATAAAATTTGTCCCCCATTTTTACGTGTTATTGTTCACCACTGACAGTTCATAAAGAATTTTGGCACATTGTAGGTAATGTTTCCCTTTTTCACAGAAAATATGAAAATTAAGTCCTTAATATACTTCAAGACTTGTATAGGTGTGGCTTTACATATCTCTAACTGAAATGAATGAATTTAAAATCAATTTGTTCAAGAATAAAAGAATACCGTATAGCGGGTTATTTTAGCGGGGTGCTAATTTTGGCTTATCTTAGCGTTTCGATGTAGTCCGCTAAAATTTTAATCGCTAAAATAGTCGGTACTCTTCTTAGCGTCTATCTGCAAAGAGTTAAAACACTGTGTCCGCTAAAATAAATTACGTCAAAAGTATTGGCATACCTTTGAGCAGGCAAAACGCCAAATGTTACATCCGCCAAGAATACCCGCTATACGGTAAATGCTAGGTTATCTATTTTTGTTGTTTCTCTAGAAACTGTTTTGGTAATAGCTAATATTCTACAATCAATGGGTATATCACTTTATGTTGGCTTTGGTTTTCTTTTCAGAGTCTATGATAATGCCCAGGCTAATGCAGTGATGCAGAAGGCACTCATGACCCTCAGCATTTGGGAAAACATGTCTCAGTCACGACGCAATACATTCTACGATTACATGAAAGGTACCTGCAATCCTTTCAATGAGTACTATGACGATGACATGACTGAAGAGGGAGAGGAAGACATGAAGAAGGTCACCATGCAGATCAAGGTCAGTGGTCAAGGTCAAGAAAGTATTTTTATCTCATTAGAATTTTTTGTCAATACATGTTTGCACAGATAGTTAAAAATATTGTTTGACATTGAATGTTTTTCTCAACTTTAGGATGACCTAGATGACTTAAGAGACGCCTTTGATTCAAAGTTTGGAAAGCGAAAAGAGGTAAGATGGGTAACTTTGATAAATCTGATTGAAATTTGATGATTTTATGTTGTACGTGCATGTATTAGGGGTTATAAAAAAGCATTTTTGTTCTTGATTAATGTTGTGAATGAGACTCGCATGCTTTTCTGTAGAAGCACCTTGTTTATTCTTTTGACTCTTTAGTTATTTAGAGATGGAAAGTCAGCAGAAGGAGGGGTAATTTTGACTTTATTTTTAGATCCAGTTTAGGAAATCTCCCTAACAAGTCACAGTCTGTGGGTGTCACACACTGCCTCTATGATTTACGTATACATGTATATGTAGTTGTTTTTTTGTTTTTTTTTTTGAATTCCTTTTCATTTATTTTATCATTAGATTTCAAGAATATTTGCTTATTCAATTTTTTTATTAACTTTTATGCAAGATATATAATTTTTGCCAGAGGAAACACAATTAAAGATTCTTTGTATTAAAGTTAGATATAATTTTTTTTTATACATATTCTTCATTATACAAATAATGTATACATATGTACAGATACCTGGTATACTCTTATTTGCTTAAGATTCTTACAGCTTGTGCATAATTTATGCTTCTTTTATCCTTTCCCTCACTTCAGTATTTTCAGTGGAAATTTTAACAATACATTGATGCTTACAGCAAAAGGGGTTTCATTCCCCATGGCTTTAAAACATATTGTTTAATAGATATAAAGAGTTACATTAATAATGAAGAAAAAGCATCCATCTCTGGCATTTCATTATAGGTGTATGTTATTTATGATACTGAGATATTTGTTTATTCAGTTGAAATTGACTTACATTTACTTATTTACAGATGTTAATTGATGGAACATTGATTTGTTCAGTTCAAACTAATGTACTTCTATGCTGGCCAAATACTATATTGCACATCATACATATACAGTAATAAGTATATGTATAGCTTTTGAGTGTTTCTTTTTTATTATTGAAATGTTGATTTTTATTTATACATATGGTAAAATTTAATCTGCCAAGTTTTTAAATTAACCAATAGAATTTTTTTAAATTTTGAATCTGTAGACTAGTCTTTATTCTTTCCTTCATAGAAATTTTAGGACCTACTAATGCATATAATGTTAATAAATTAAACATGACAATCTATTCTATTAACTGATGTGAAATTAAGATGTTAAGAAAAGTTCCCTGCCTGTTTCCAATGGTGTATTAAGGAAAATGCTTCTCCAAATAATCGAAAGGCAGTATATCTAGACTTATCTCAATTTATATATTTATCTGCATTCACTTTTAGTATGTTTTCAATGAATTTGTTCTTGAATTTCATGTAGAACTTAGAAAATAGAATCATATACAGGTGTAGTATCTATGCTTTTTAAGAATGATTTGCCATTATATAAATTTTTCAGAGATATATTTTTGGGAGAGACTTCTTTTATATATTTTTTTTAATGTTAAGGATGAAGAGGAGGAAGATCTCAACAACAAATCCCGTATGGTGGATGTGGAGAGATTTGAGAACGAGATCGGAATTCTGCGAGACAGTATAACAGAGCTGCGAGTTCGACAGGACGATATGATGGAGAATCTACAGACTAGCGTCAACACCATTACGGGACTGTTAAATCAGCTGCTGGGAAACCCACCTGACGCCAGTGGTTAGTTTTGGGGGGAAAAGTTCTTCATCAATTTAGATTTTAGAGGAGGGAGAGGGGTTTTCAGTTTTAAGAGGTTTTTGTCAACAAAAGATCTTCTTTTTTTTTTTTATATTGATAATCCATGATTTTAGATTCTTTGTGTTCAGTGTCTGTTTTAAATACTTAAATTAAGTTGCTAAATTTTTTTTTTAATTGCAGAGGTTGAACTTGAATTAGAATCTAGACAAAGATCAGCAAGAGGGTAAATATTAGTTTAAATTGTACATACATTGATACATTGTGTGTAGCATGTATTATAAATTCACGGAAAATAGCATTTTAATTATACCTTAAAAGTTCTTATATTTATTTTCAATATCAGCAGAATAGGGTTTATTGAATTGCAAGAATTAAAAAAAATTGTTTTGAAGGCCTGAGATTCATAATTTACCAGATCAAACACATTTTCCAGTGGTGTACAATGCAATTTTACTTTGGGCTTGTCTTGAACTGTGCCAAACTCTAATTGTTACTATAAATACCTGTAAAATATTTAGCATTCTTTATTCTCCAGTGAATTTAAATGTATGTATAAATTTTAGCCACCCAAAGAAATCTAAGAAGAAGAAGACTGACAGACAACAAATCATTCACGAGGATGACAGAGCTTTATTAGAACCACCAAGTAAGACTGCTGTTAACAATTCCTGAAAAATACCGTAAAATTTAGATGAGCTCACTTTTGATTCTTTTCTACTATTAATTCATTTTGTAAATGTGAAATTACAGAGATCAAAAGAGTGTATGTCTAAGAGTTTTATGGCCCCCAGGCCTGGTTCTGGAAAAGTTAAAGAACTTTATTCAGTAATAACCAATATTTGCCCCCCAAATCAAACTTTGATGGAGATATATTTAATTAAGTTCTTAAACAGGGGAGTATATGCTGACTTCAAAACACTGAATATTTTCATAAGTAATGACGCCATATGTAAAGACGTCACAAACATGACGTAAATTTCAGTTTTTGATGAATTTTACAGAAAAATGTACATATTTCGTCGATATTTTGAGTAAAAGTCACCGAGCGCATGTGTGTTCAGGATCAATATTTTGATATAATGTGTAGAATGATAATATCAATGAAATATGTCCCAAATATTGTTCCTGAACAAACAGCGTAACTATAAATTTAAAAGCTAAAATTGTTGAAATTTTGTCCATTTTGTCCTCTTTCTGAAAAAGGATATAAAATCGGACTAGTTTGTGACGTAATAAAAACAAAAATTGTGAATACACTGCTTTGACACTGTTATATTTTGTGTTAATTTATATTTCTCATACAATTTATTGAATTCAGCACATTTCAGGAAGTTTTCAAAATTTGACTTTGTGGGGGCAAATATATGCAATATACCGCATATACATGTAGTTCTTTAGATGAGCTCACTTTTGATTCTTTTCTACTATTAATTCGTTTTGTAAACCTGAAATTGCAGAGATCATAAGAGTGTATGCCTAAGAATTATGGTCCTGAGCCTGTTTTTCTGGAGACTCTCTTGTCTGTTGAGTTAAAAAAAAAAGGATTTTTTTTTCATTGGGAGAAGGGAAAAAAAACCATGAATTCAAATTGTCAAGCATTTGATTCATTTGCAGCATTACACTGAATTATAGAATTGTAAATTCTTATTCAAAATCATCTCTAAGTTTTAAGAATTTTTAGGGGTGTATCCCCAGCAACAGTCTAAGTTCTGCTTAAGTGATGTACCAGTGGTTTGCTGATATTGAATTTGGTCAATCTAAATTATTGTAAGGATCATGTATTAATGACTGTCATTGTGATTTCAGCCCCGCCCACGCAATCTCAGGTGCTACAGACCCCTCCCACTGTTGATGTTTCCATGGCTGATTTCTCTCCTCGGGACTTCACGCAACTGTCCCAACCATCATTTAGTCCCAGAAGGCCACAGGTAACATATTTAGTTTTTTTATAAGGCCATAAAAAAATTAATTTCTTGGTTCTCAGGCCCTCCCTATCTCCTCCAAAGGTGCCTCATTGACCCTTTTTATTGTTAAATCAATAAAATATAAAAACAACAAATCACCTCTTTCATCATTTTTTGAAGTTTTGCACAATGTAAAAAGCTGCCTAATCATGTTTTGAGGGCAATAAAATAAAAAAAAAAATACCTCCCTCTCTCATCATAAAAAGACCTGAGAACCAAGGAATTAACTTTGCATGGCCGAATTGGTCACAAGGATGCAGGTAAATATGTGATTAATATTTAGCCACAGAATGCCAAGGGTAAAATATTTTTCTTAATATTTAGCCCAAAAAGTCTTTAGTATAAAATTAATTAATTTACATTAAGTCTCAAAACCTCAGGTAAAATATATGGTTCATTAATACCCAATATTTAATGGTAGTCAGAAAAGTCATGGATTAAATTTGATTGAAAATTGTATGTTTCAGGATGGCCACGACCCCTCCACAGAATGCTGAGTTGTGATTGGCATTGTGAAGTATCTGTGATATATTATTCTGAAATGTTGTCAAGAGAGAGTTTTATTAATTTCATTAGGTTTTGTACTTCAGTTCTCTAGCTTTAAAAACCTTGAAATGAACCAACCACATGTACAGTGTATAAACATTTTTAAATTAATTAACTTGTACAATTTTATATTACATGTAGATTTTGTTTTAGCTTAAGAACCAATGGCTTGTCTTGGAAATCTTAGTTAAGAAGACAAAACATTAGATTTACATGTAGTTATTTAAGTTCTATAGGTACATGTATATTAGACATTGTCCGTCCTTTTATTTATTTATAGTTTTGCCTAAATATTCTTTGATGTTATTTTTTTTAATGAAAACATTATTGTGTAAAGCTGTAAAACATTATATTTTTACACATTTAACATGAATAACGTCTTCTTTTCTAGGTGCTATAGAATTCTATGCTTTTTGCCATTCTAATATACTCAAAATCCCTCCATCTTTATTGTGTATTATACTGTGATATTATATGTAAGTACATGTATCCCTGAAAATATAAATGAGTACCTATATGTACAATAACTGATTTTTTTCTGTGTGATGCACAATCACTATATACTGGTATATAGATTTAATATTTTGTGCATGTAAGTACATGTATATTTTATCATCTTGAAAAGTCTTCAGAAATACCTTTTTGGTGCATTATAAAAATTATGTTGAGGACATTTTACATATATTTTTCTTTGAACAAGGCACTGGAAATTAGTACAATGATCAAACCTTAATTTAATTAATTTGTACTTAATTTTACTTGTAAATTACTGGTACATTAAAATACGTACATTTACAGTAAATGTATGTATTTTAATGTACCAATAATTTTGAAGAAATCCAAACTGTATGCTGTTGATGACTTTATATAATTGGGACACCTTATTTTCAGTAATATATAAAAACGAAATTTCAGGCATAATTACTTGAAAGTCAAGTTTTCACAATAAAGTTATTTACAGCATTTGATGTTCACATGTATATGTACTCTTTTGGTAAGGAATGGCAAGTTGGTAAATGCTTAAATGTATTATATTTTTGTCAGTTACTGATCACCAAACCTTTGTACATGTATAATCACTGACACTGACAGATACAGTATATAAAAATTTGTATATTTAAGAATGAAGTTATAACAGTGTATCTTCCTCTTTGTAGACTTTCAATGAGTGCCAAATATTTAAAGTCTTTACTACCATGTACCATTGTGATAATCTTTGTGAAAATGAATCAGAATTATTTGTGCATGTGTATTTCATTGGAGAAATACGAGGGGTTATCAAAAAGTTCGTGGACTGAGGCTATAAAATTAGTACTATGTAGTCTGTGCTTTCAAAATTTATATGGAACATAAAACAACAAAAAATAAAGAAATGTTAAAAGTTTTAGCCTGATACCATCATTATTTTCCAAATTATTATAAAATGGAAACGACAATATATGATCACCCGGCGCTGTCGTCGTTTATTTTCATGACGTCCGATAACGTCACTGTCTTTTCATTGTCCGCTTCTTCTACCTCATACACTTTCTTGATGAGAAACCCTGGAGCTAAGAAAGGACTTAAACCCACCTTGTTTATATGACTTTACAATGTCATGAACAGTAGCCTTCAATTAATATAATATTCCAAATGGATTAATACATTGGGAGAGATCCGCGCTTGATTGTGCCGGCATATTTTGCTTTTGGGAGTTCAATATCTACAACGCGTGATCAACGTCATTTTTTGACGTGATTGATTTTTCACACCTTGAATGCACATCGACATTAGCTGTGTATCCCTTTCATCTCTGAATCTATTTTGACATTAAAAGACAAGTACTCTGGATCCATTTTATTTCTATGTTTCAACATATTTTAGGTTTATACCAGTTTTTTTCACGGGCAAAGCTTTATAGAATGTTGGAAATGGAAACCCCTGCCCCCTTTTGACGTCATTTTCAAGGCCTCATTTGTTCGGACATTCCGTGTAAAATTTGCGATAGAATTTCATAAAACTTCCAGAATGAAGTGAAAATTTCGTATTTTATGGAACAATTGTGTCCAGACACATACCTGTTTTCACGGGATTTTTGGATGTCAAATGACCATATCAAAAGAGTTTTTCTCGGTTACACATAGGTCGCAAAAAACGTCGTGTTCGAGGTTGCGCCGCCTGGACATACCATTGCTTACAAAAACATCATTAATTTGTTGAAAAATAAAATTTATGATTTATGGTTTATTCTTTAGATAGAAAAGATGATGCTTACTAGATATTTTAAAATTCATTGATGTGCTTAAAGCGGTTTTAATTTTATGACGATAGTCCACGAACTTTTTGATAACCCCTCGTATGTATACACAGGTGCTTAACAAAAAAGCATCAAACAAAATGATTGTATATTAAATTCATAAACTCTATTTTATTTGATGAATTCTTTCAATTTTTCTTTTGAGAATAGAACCAATTGTTATATATACCTGGTAGTTAGTTACACTGTTAGCTTTCTGGGTATGAGCAAGTAGGATACTAACTGGGAAATAAATATCAAATGTAAAAACTTGTTGTTTTCTTTGTTTTTTATTCAACAATAAATGACCTCTCTACAATTATGATAATTAAACGATGTCAATTTTAAAGTAAACAATCCCTTTTTCACACTGAAGTGATTTACAGAAACTAATAAGTGGATTATTCTTTTTTCTTCAGTAAAATGAATTTTAGCAATATTCTCTTTTCAAAGAACCGCGAACGATGGTATTGTTCTCCCGCCTACCTCTAAGTCAATTTTCAAAAGTTAACATATTTGATGAATTTAATTATATAATTATATTATGTGTTCTCCTAAAAACAATACTTATTTGGGAAAACAAAGAGAGATAACTTTAAAATGTTGGTACATATAACAATTGTGTTTTTCACTATAGAAATCAACAGAAAATATTTTTAAAACACCTTTCCCTGCATGTCACAAAACTTTCACAGGTAATATGGAATGTTATTTCACAAATTCATACCAAAGCTTTTTGTGTGACAAGGGGGGGGGGGGATATGTTTATTGACAAAAAACTATAAAAATGCTTATTTTCTACCAATTTCAAAGGGATTTACAACTGAAACATTATATTTTATTGATATATTTATGTTTTATTTATTTGCCTAAAACATAAGAAAAGATATAAGGAACATTTAATCATTTCCAAGACTATTTCAAAATATGGTGATGCTTGAAACTCTGATTTCAATGGAAAAAATATCGTCTACCCCCTTTCTTTCAAAAGCTGGAATTATGGATGTTTTACTGTTTAGCGCTGGTATTAAGACAATTCATCAATTACCATTGAATTGTTCTTTGTATTAAACAAAGATTTTATGGCCAAATTGCTATTTATATTGAATTAAATGGTTCCAAAATGTAGGCGGGAATCGAGAGTTAGCGTGCGTATTTCTTCAACAGATGATGGACTGCATTTATTAGGCAAGTAGTGTTGGGGCTTATAGAAGCCCCCCCCCTTTGTTGTAGTATAGTTGAGTCATGCTTATTAAAATTGGTAATGCATCTATAAAATGTGGTTGTACATGTGAAAGGAAGCTGGAACATAATCCACCCACCCCTTACCTTTGCAAAATCGGAATTTGGAGTTTGGACACTACCCCCTTGTTTTACTGGACATTTTTTTTCTCATGAGTTTACCATCTGATTAATAGAGGCTTGTATCTTGGCTGCTGTAGTGAGCTAGCATTGCTGTTAATATTTAATATTTTTTAAGGATATACGTATTTGATATGTGTATTTTTAATATATTCGATCAATTCATACTATTAATGCAAGATATATTACTGTTTTCAGCGGCAGCTCACACAAATTGGTCCGACCAAAATAGTTCCATCATGATTAAGTAGATACAACATTATTGTTCATGATAAGAGTAAAGTTGTGTATTTCATACGTTAAAGAAATAAAAATAACGTCAAAATATTATTAGAAAATCACTTTCCCCCCGAAATGCAAATAAAAAATATCAATATTCCTACGCTCGCTCCCTCCTCAGATTTTTTTTTTTTTTTTACATGTTTGATAATAGACTGAGAATATTTAGGTCATTCTTCGATTCATATTTTTTCACCGATGAATTGATAATACTATATCAACAATTGTATTAAGTACATGTTTATAATCTGTTAATTATCATACAATTTCCTTTTGAGAAAAAATTAATCATTCTGTGTGTGTATATTATTAAATGACGGAATTTTCAATCCCTGGCTGGATTTTCTGCTCACGTGTGTACACTTTGTAAACAATGTGTAGCAAAACGAGAACTGGGTCGGACATTCGGGTTCGTGTTGAAGTTCAGCATAGGCCTACCATTTTATATAGAACTTGAATAATGTAAGTAATTTCTGCGACAAATACATTAATTAGTATATTTCAGTAATTTTCAAAACAAAAACGGTTTTCAGTAATATAGAATTTTCCGATCTGGTCTTGATTTTCCTAACACGGCCATTTTAAACACAAGTTGTTGCAGATGCAAATGTTAGAACAAACTATATATAGTTCAACAGGGATTGTATAATTTTTATTAATCAGAATTCATATTCATATGATCTAATTAAGAAAAGAAAAGTTTTGTCTGCTATCGTAACTTCTCGGCAAAAAAAACGTGTTTCTCCGAGCTCGCCGGATGCGTTTAACAGCTCCATCGCACGTGTTTAGATCGAGCTAATGTTGGTCTTGCGGACACAGGTTCATGTAGGCCTATGTGTACACATACCGTTTGTTAGGAGACTGGGTGACCTCACGAAATTTACACCAGTTCCGTAACTAGACATGACAGTTTTTTTATTAACGTCATTATAAACACTGATAAGCATATTAAATCTAAAAGTCGAATATCTTTGGATATGGGGTAACCCATATCTATTCTTGTTCAACCTTTTCCCCGATGAAAAACTTTCATAGAATAAGCTTGTTAATATTAATTCTATAGATAGAAAACGATTTATAGAGTAAAAATGAACTCAATTATGCATAAAATTTATTAGAATTTACCAAATACCGCCCGGTAAACCTAGAGATCTCTCGGGTTCTCTGTTTAGTAGGACAGACTTGATCAGTACCCGCCATTTTGTTTGACGTCAGTAAAAAAGTTACCATCGCTAACAGAGCTCTAGTCGTCTGCAGAAAAATCTACCTATGGTAAATTTTTTCGGCAAACTTTGGTACCATTGGCTTACCAAAGGTAAAAAATTCTACCATTGGTAACTTTTGTCAGCCAACGGTAGTACTCTGAACGCACCCAATGACTTGTTCTCCCCCGCACAAGTCATAATATAAAAGCGGGGGTTAGAGTCAGAGGAATCTCGGATTAATATTATAACAGCTCAGATAAAACATGAGCTGACCATATTTAAAAGCAGAATTGTGAAATTAATCAATAATAAAAATCAATACATTCTAAAAATTTAAGACTTTAATTTACATGTTTTTAATTTCATTTCTTTTTTATTATTTTCTTATTTATGAATTTTTAAAATTATTTATTTTATTATATTAATTTGTTTTTGTAGCATTTTATTTATTTAGTGGAGATATCGAAACATTTTTGGAATCATCGATCTAGTAGATAAGTGGAACTCTTCACACCTGGAAGGTAATTTTGTCGTTTGTGTACAAACTTCAAGTCTGAGAAAAAGTTAGAGTCAGCAGTCTACTGTTCTGCAAGTTATATTT